ACTTTCTAATCTAACAGCACATAACCGACTGTTAATGGGGATCCAATCGACTAGTGCTGCCTCAGCTCTAGCGCTTAGTGCGACACCAACGCCAGCAAGACCAAACGAAGATGCCACAGGGTCCCCGGATAAGCGCACGTGAAACAAGCTTTTCGAAGCGACAGATGGAGATCGAATTTGTAGTACTTCGCCAGAGTCTTGAATACGGGTCTCGGATAGACAACAAACATCAATATTAAGACTTTCCAAAGACATAGCCAGCCCTATCTGTTGTCCGACCTGCACTAGTGTGCGAACGTTGAAGGCAGCCAGTTTGAATGGTGCACGTGGTTTCAGAAAAACTGCTTCAGTTCTCGTAATCGGTGGTAACATACAATTTTCAACCGGACAGTGACTCGAGAACGTTTAGATACAGTCGAATTTCCACCAAAGACGAGCCGCTGTATAAGTATAAAAGAGGGAGAACAATGTGGAAAATAATAATAATAATAATAATAATAATAATAATAATAATAATAATAATAATAATAATAATGACAATAATGGTACTAATAATAATAATAATAATAATAATGACAATAATGGTAATAATAATAGTATTAATAATGACAATAATAGTAATAATTATTGGAATCGATTGATTATATATCGGAGCGAGAAAATTCGTTGCCATAGTCATAGAGTTCATGGTACACGGTCAACAAACATTGAGTAGCTTGAGTAGACAATTGTTTACAAATAATTGTACACTTTCGATGATTGTCGTGGTACTTCTCCATGTTTCAGCTCCGTATAGTAGAACTGTCTTGACGTTCGTATTGAAGATTCTCATTTGATATTGGTTGAAAGTTGTTTTGAATTCCATATGTTCTTCAATTGTAGGAATGTGGCCATTGCTTTGTCAATCCTCACCTTTACGTCTGCATCTAATCCTCCTTGTTCATCGATGATGCTTCCCAGGTATGTGAAGCATTCTACATCTTCCATAGTTTCGCCATCAAGTGTGATTGGATTGCTGTTCTGCGTTTTGAGTTTGAGGACCTTGGTTTTCCCCTTGTGTATGCTGAGGCTTACTGATGCAGAGACTGCTGCTACATTAGCTGTCTTTATCTGCATTTGTTCATGTGTATGTGATAGGAGGGCTAGGTCATTTGTGAAGTTCAAATCGTCCAATTGGTCCTGAGCTGTCCATCTTATCCCGTGTTTTCCTTCAGATGTGGAGGTCTTCATAATCCAGTCGACCACCAAAAGAAAGAGGAGTGGGCACAGTAGATAGACTTGCCTGACTCCAATCCCTACTTGGAATGCGTCTGTCAGCTGTCCTCCATGCACGTCCTTGCACTGTAGTCCGTCGTAGGAGTTCCGGAGAATGTTGACAATCTACTTAGGAACTCCGTAATGTCGAAGAAGTTTCCATAACATTCTCCTATCTACACTGTGAAACGCCTTTTTATAATCAATGAAGTTGATGTATAGTGACGAGTTCCACGATGATCTGTAGTGTCGCAATTTAGTCTATGCACAATCGATCCTTACGGAATTCAATTTTTCTAACCATTGATCACGATTATTTCATGAAATCCAGTCAAATCATCAAATTAGAAAGTTCTAGATTAGTTTTTCCTCATATAAATTAACTGTTAAAGTATCATAACCAAGAAGTTACAAACAAAAAACAGAACAATAGTTCAATGTTTTGTAATTTCTTATAATATTTCAATTAATTTTTATTATATAATCAAATTTATTTTCTGTAAAATGTTTATTGCCTATATTAACTAAGTGTCAAGAGGAAAAAAATTAATGTTTCAATTATTTGTCTAAATTAAACTATTTGACGACTAAACTTACACACACACACACAAAGAGAGAGAGGGGAGGGAGAGACACACACAGGATATAAATAGAGAATAATCGCTAACTGTAACAATATTTTATGACAATGGCTTAATTTAAATCATTCACAATAAATTTTGGTTTGCTTGAATTATTGAATGAAAAATTTTTACTATGTAATACAAATAAATAAACTTGTAAGAAAAGGTAGTTAGCAAAGTGTATAGTAAATCTTTCGAGGTTATTATTAATATAGTTGTGAATAGACATTTAAAGTCTTGTAAACTCTTGATAGATTTTATCTTATCAGATATTAACCATGCTCTTCATTTAGATCATTCTCTTGGTATACCTTCTGGTAGAGTGAGACATAAGTATATTAAAATCTATGAAAGTAAGCAAAGGTATAAAAGTTCTATAATACCTTACCTAGTATATATACTCTGTAACGAACAGGTTGTTAGTTAACCGAGTTAATAACCTGTATTTTTAAACATGTCTCTAATTTGAAAAGTTGTACAGATTCGGATCGTTTTTTTCACCTTTTTGTTTGTTTTTTTTTGTTTGTGTGAAAGAGACTTGTCGAAATATCTCGTGCTGTGAATTCTATATTGTACCAAAATATAATATTGAATTAAACCATTGATAATATCAGAAGGGGTTTTGTGGATATTATAGTAATTTCAGTAGTTTAGATCATGAGTCAATTGAAGCTAGAGTGTTATGGAAAACCTGGAAGTACTGGAGGACCGTTTCGTCCTATTGTAGAACTCTTCACCAGTGCGCATCTACGATCCCACCTCGCGAGATTCCAACACAGGATCTATCAGTCTCGCGCGCGAGAATGCTTAACCACTAGACCACTGAGCCGGCCAGCATCCAACGGTGTTAATGTCTAACTTCAATTAATCCACGAAGTTGAGCTGTCCATTGTATGCCATGTTTTTCCTCAAATATCGAGGTCTTCGTAATCCAGTCGACCACCAGAAGAAACAAGAATGGGCAGAGTAGATAGTCTTGTCTGACTCCAATCCTTACTTGGAATGCATGTGACAGTTGTCCTCCATGCACCACTTTGCACTGTAGTCCTTCATATGGATTCCGGATGATGTCAACGATCTTTTCAGGTACACCATAGTGTCAAAGAAGTTTCCATAAGGTCCTCTTATCCACACTGCCAAACGCCTCCTCATAGTCAAGGAAGTTGAGTTCCATTCAACTGACTGATCAACGATGATCGGTAATGTCGCGACTTGGTTTGTGCACGGCCGATCCTAACGAAATCCAGCTTGTTTATCTCGACGTCGGGTGCCTACTTAACCTTTCATCCGGTTCAGCAACACTCCGTTAAAGACTTTCCCTGGTATTGACAGTAGTGTGGTGCCTTTGTAGTTCTCACTTTTGCTCAGATCTCCTTTCTTTTGTATCTTGAAGAGGTGTCTTTTTCTAGTCCGTCGGCACTTGTTCTTCTTCCCAAATCTTCCTGAACAGAATACGGAGCACGTTTTTAATTGCTATTATGTCTGATTTCAGTGTTTTAGCTGGTATATTGTCAGGTCTTGATGAATGCCTGCTCTTGATTTGTCTGGTGACTATTCTGATTTCTTCCGTCGTTAGTGAAGTGACATCTATAGAAAGGTTTGTGTGTTCTGCTTCGATGTTTGGTGGATTCAGTGAAGCTGGTCTATTGAAAGATTCCTCGAAGTATTCTGCCCATCTGTTCCTCTGTTTTTGTATCTCGGAGACTGTTTTTCCTTCTTTGTCATTAACCGGTCTCTCTAGTTTACTATATTTCCCTGCTAGTTTTTTCGTTGTTTCATATTTCCTTTCTACTGCTGTTTATTCGGTAGTCCAGTGTTCCATTAGATTCAGTTTCATCTTGGCCACAATCAAGTGGTGATTTGAAGCTGCGCCATCTCCCTTCATGGTCCTTATGTCCTTCATTGTCCCTCTGGATTGTTTGTCGATACAAATATGATCTATCTTGTTCTCCGTGGTGTGATCCAAAGAGACCCATATAGCTTTGTGTAAGCGTTTGTGTGGAAATATTGTGCCGCATGTGACCGATTTGTTGAATGCACATACGTTTGCAAGGATACATTTGTTACTAAACCTTATTTAAGCATTTAATCGACGAAATACCACACACATAAGAGCGTCCTAGAAATATATATATTTGCACTTACAACTGATTGCGTGGTTAATTCAAAACAAAGTGGAATTTATCTACCCGGTACAGGCCTATATTCTCGTCTGTAAGCCACATTGTCTGCATGGGCGTTATTGATGTTATCCATCCATTCAAACTGAAGTATGCATCATAAGGTTTCAACATTTGACCTATCGGTTAGAAGCTATGTGTTTTATTGATCAAGGCATTAGTTTGTGACATTCGTTACCTGTGCACAATTTTTTGTTTGGGCGGTTCATTAGGTGGCTAAAAACGAGTTTATTAGAAGTGGTAGACTTAATGGAGATGGTTTCTGGTCATTGATAAAATGTAAGTCACAAAATTAACCAGGTTGATTAGCATAATAGTGTATATGACACACAAAAATGGATAGCTAGGCACAAATAACGAAAGATTTTGCATAAATGCATTTCAGTCCAAGCTCCTACAGTACCGTGTGAAAAAATCAATGAGAGGAAAATCAAACAAACTAAATTAATAAAGGTGATATGGAGAATATGGTTTTCAAATAAAAATGTAACCTTAATTATTAAGGGCTGTAAGAGAATATACAGTTTTGTGGATAAAATAGGGTGTATTTTGACTACAGAAATTGATTTGTACCCTAGTCAATTGATAACTTGATCCATCAATGATAATAACCGCTAGGACAATAACCAGGTTGTACATCTCAAAATAAACCAATCTAGAACTCATTCTAGTTGACAATTGTTAAAGCAACAATTTCGCTTAGGTAGAATTCCAAAACAGGTTGAATTTCAATTACTATTATATACGAGTAATGACATCCACTCAATCGTAAAAAATAAACATTAAAACACTTGAATTGACAAACTACAGGCTCATCAAACAGTTGATGAGTACATGTAATATAAAAGGAACTAATCAATATAATGTTTATAAATTGAAACTTTTGCATGTATGGATTTCGGCAGCATACGTGATAAAAATCCAAAAACGTACAGAGACTTACTCTTAAGTCACACGCTGCATTCAACAAGATGTTGCATGGCTTAAGATCCCTATGAAGAACATTTGCAGAATGTATGTACTTGAGGCCTGAAGATGAATCATGAATGGATGATACAAGGTTACCTCTAAGCATTTGATATAAAAAGTAGCAAATATGATCATTGCTTAATTTCTGTGTCTTTAGTAAGCGACACAGGTCAGTTTCCATGAAACATTCAACAATATAGCTTAACAGTGAATATGCAATTAAACAATACTATAGACTTACATATCTTTCATCTCTTCAAATGTATTTGACGTTATAATATCGTGGATTTTTACAACCTGTAAGTTTATTTGTAAGCGAATGCAAACTTTCTAATAACAAACATTTTCATGGTCCATTCTACTAAGTATCCAAATTTCCCTGTACGTTCTTTGACTGTATGTCTGGTGTTCAAATGGGGAAACTTTCTTCAGAGCCACTTTTTCATTACGTTGACAATCAAACGCCGATCTTAATCATAGTTTATGAAACGACCCAACATACACAACGATCCCATACGCACCTTCCCCAACATACTGAACGTTGTCAAACCTCGGTCCTAACTCAAATATTTGTCCTTTCACTGTTGGTATTGGTGATTTAGACATTTCAAAGCACCAACTTAAAAAAAGCCGTTAGTCTAATCCTCTTAAAGTCAGTAGTAACAACAAATGATAGAAACTTTAGAAAAGTCTTGTGCATATCATTATAATCAGCCAGAAACGCATAACGTGAGACCTCAGACTCTTTTGCGAAAACAGTGTGCATATTTGAAAAAACACAAGAAAATCAAGGTTAAAAGGTACAGTATCCAACATTTCCGTGGAGAGCTAGTGTAAACTACTTTGCTTCTTAGCTATCTCTTCTTGGAGTTTCTCATAGTCAAACCTCTTCAGTTGTACCCGATCAGTTGATTGTCTAACGTTCTCGTAAAGTTAAGAAGTATTAAATGCATCTATAATTTTTTGTCCCAACACATTATTCAACCATCTCATGCAAGAAAGAGATTAAAAACATGAGACCTGATTTCACTGAACCCGTGTCGGACTTTATAAAAGGCGTTTATGGTCCATGAACCCTATTATCTATCAAATGATCTGACATTTTTAAAACTTTGGTGCTATCGGAAACAGTCCAAATGCTTCAAGTGGTTGTGGACGGAATAGAAGGTGCTTTCGCTTAACGATCTTCCGTGTCTAGTAGTGTAGCGGTAAATAAATCCCTAAACTAAATAGCTCTGTAGGTTTTCGACATTGGATGCTGACCATATGTTTTAGTGGACTCATCTAGCTGAAGGCGCTCGGTCATGCATCCGCACCATATCACGTGTGGTAACGTTGTGCTCTACATCTACTGCAATCACTAGCCAGATTAGATCAGAGATTCACGATATATTGGTAATCGCCAAATACACTCTTCCGATCTCCTCGACTCTGTCTTTTGATTTCTCTCGGTGGGAACAAAGCATATTAGAAGGTGTTACTGGTAGAAGCGTTGTCAAACACTGAATACCTGTATCATCCTCAGTAGCAGTGGATCACGAATACCTCCAGGCAGGAACCTAGGTATATTAACAATAACGAACGAAAAAAGAAATCGGTAGATCATAGTAAGATATTATCTTTAGTCCTTAATAATAGGTCAAGTTTCCTCGTAAACGACTCCTGAGAAGCTGCTTGAACTAGCTTAATCGGCGGCGAACTCCAGCATTTGAAAACTCTTAAGGAGTAGAAGTTGTGTCCAGAGTCCATTCTGCTATGTTGTGTCTCCGGTTTCTGGGTGTTACCCCTTAGGTTTGTGTTGGAGCCAAACTAAGCTAGGTGTTTAAGGGGATGTCCAGAAGTGTTAAGGATATTGTGAGCCATTACAAGGTTACTTCTAAGACGCCTATACTCTGATGGGTAAATGTTTATTTATTGGAAGCGCTCTTCATAGGGATTGAATTTGAGTCGCTGAACTGATTTCGTGGCTCGCCGTTGGAAACGCTCCGCAGTGTCTTTATCCTTTGGAGTGAGGGGGGAGATATTATGTTTCCGTACTCTAAATGGAGACGAATGAAACTGCTGAAGATTGTGTGGAAAGTTCTTCCATCAAACTAGCCCGAAATGCGCTTCAATGTTACCAGTGCAAGGTTTGCTCGAAAGGCATTTTTGTCACAATTAGAGTAAGACTTCAAGTCGTAGGATATCAGCACTCCTAAATCTTTTCCAACTCGGGATACTTCTAGAGAGGAGCTTTCTAAGTTGTAACTTTAGTCTGCAACATATCTCAGATGGACTACTTTACACACTGAAGTGTTAAAGGTAAGTCCGTTGTCATCTGCCCAACTTTGAAGTCGAGTCAGCTCCTCATGAAGTGCCAGTATATCCTCTTGGTTGCGTATCTCTCTCTCCAGAGTTTCACATCATCAGCAAAAAGTAATAACTCGAACGATACCTTTTGTGGAAGATCGTTTATATAAATCAAGAATAGAAAAGTTCCTAGTACTGAACCCTGGCCGACCACCGGAACATTCTATAGCCTGAGAGAAAGTGAAATTAAAACTGACCTTAAAATGTCGATTCCTTAGATATGAAGTGAGCAAATCAATTAGAAGTGATTTGATACCCAATCGTTTGAACTTATAGATAAGACATATGTGGTTGACCCCATCAAAAGCTTCTGAGAAGTCAAGGTAAATGACGTAAACCTTCCCCCTGCGACCACGGATGCTTGTCCATCTGTCCACCGCGGTCAGCAGGTGGGTTATACAAGAATGACTCTTCGTGAAACCACGTTGTTGGGGTAAAATGAAGTTTAAAGATGATAAATAGCCTTGCGTACCCTAGCAAATCAGGGACTCCATAAATTTTGAAGGTATAGAGAGAAGATCCGCCGGTCGGTAGCTTGAAGGTTCGCTGTGTCGACCTTCTTTGAAAATTGATGTGATGTCAGCCAGCTCCCAAATTTCTGTTAGTTTGCCTTGCCTAAGCGTGTGTGATAACATCACGCTAAGCGGTGTTGCCAGGATTGAAGCTGCTTCCCTTAGTATAGCAGAATGAACAATATGTAAGCTTGTAGAACTATGGTCTACTATAATATTAGTTCTGCTCTAATAATAGACCTAATCCTAAAATTGTACATTTGTCATGATATAACTACCTAATCTATAAGATCTTACGTGGAAGTCACACCATCGACTACACCAACTCACTGTATCGTATCAACTACCATTACATGATGTAGAACAATGTTAGGCTAGAGAAGGAACAATATATTTAATATGAATAGAAGATATAAGGTAACATTCAGAGGGACCACGCCTGCATGGCCGAGCCATGCCATTCGATCAACTCCAATTCCTTCAAAAAATTATTCGCGCCTATTTTCCGAGTAATCTCGTATTCAGCTTTGAGGATAGTGTGGTTATGGTCCGATGCCACTACACTACTCTCCCACCAGAATCAACGTGGTGTTGGTTCGATACCAAATTGGATGGGACTGTAGTGTGCCGAAGGTTACCAAGACTAGTAAGAATCCTCCGTGTGATGACAAGCTGAAAGATAAATCAAAAAGAAGGCGGCAGCATCTTGTCGGGGAATACATGTAATAATTTTAAAATATCTGCCTTCATGCTTAACACGCTTAAAATGAAATTTTGAGTGATTATTTGAGCTATAAAAAAATGGGATTACAATAATAATAATAGTAATAATAAAACGATGCGTGTTAATAGCCGTTGGTTGATAATTTAACGTATAGGTAGTAAGTATTTTGTGTTTAGAAATATTAAAACAATCAATTGTAGAAATGTTATTATTGGTATTAGTTTTGGTTTCAATTATAAAATCAAACAACGTTAACGTTAGTAGGCTGTCCATATGAGTTTATTTCCAATTGCTTCTGCATTAGTAGGCTAACTGAAGGAACATAAGTATTACCATGGAGAAGAATTCCAACTAGTGTTCCAGTTAGTTTGATACGGTTTATTTAGTTACGGGGAGATTTTCTCAACCCCATGTTTACCTGACCGTGATAGAATTTAGTATACTACTAATACACATGAATGGTTATCAAAACAAAATTTAAATACGTGAGTGATAATTATGTGAATTTCGGGCAGTTAGCTAGAAACAAATCGTTAAACATGAGTGTATTCGTAACAGATATGCTCTGGACTCAATGTTCTGATCTGCGGCAGATTATTTATTTATATTTATACTTGCCGGCTGATTGGGCATACAAGTTAGTTGCAAGTATGCAGTTTATCATAAGGCGGAATACGATTTTATTGAGATATAGTGGTTATAAGTTATTGAAATCGGTTAAGCATATGTGTCATATTACTAAGTGATGTGGTGCTGCAAGATTTATTTGACTAACTAAGTTTCTACAAGATGATTAATAGTGAGTGATGCTTATGTGATTATCAGGGAGAACATAAGTTGTAACCAAGGGGAGTACACTCTTAACTCATGTCTATGATAATGGCTTGAACTTTAGTCAGTGTTGGGGTAAATTCGACATTGATGTTTTCAGTTTGCAGGTGATTTGCTCGACTGCTTATACTGATTATTTGCATGCATGATTGTGTCTCTAAACCATCAACTAGACTGACAAGATTTTGAGATATTTACTGAATGAGCAACTGATAGAGAAACATACTGTAATCATCTGTAGAGAATGAAGATAAAAGGAAACAACACTAGTGATAATAATAATATATTTCTGCATGTGCAGGTACACACCGTTTTTACAGGCATGATCAATAAATTACAACATTTGTTGGTTCACAAAATGTTTCCCAACTTTTTAAGTTTATAGTTGTTATAAAGTGCAATCGTAGAGCTCTTGCTGTAAACTATGACCTTGGGAGGAAGCGTACGTCAATTTTGTTCTAAACGTCAAAAGTTTTATAGCTGTGCTCTCAGAGCAAGATTCTGAAGAAAAAAAGAGAAACAGAAGAGCAGCAAAGCACTTGGATATGAACGCCAAACGTTGCTTAAAATTGTGTAGTAGAACGGACAGAGATATAATAAATTTGGATAAATTCATATTATGTCTTGTTAGAGTGAAGCAAAGTCAGAGGCTCCATATTAAAGAATGTACTAATAAATAACAATGAGTTGTGATGTTTAACAAGTTGGAGTAAGCTCACATGAAGGAAGGGAAGTCAGGGTTGGTACAAGGGAAGCGGTTTATTAGAAGAGTATGTATATAGAGGGTGAAGTGTTAAGAATACTAATGACTATATCTTTTGTTATCTAAATTTTTTTTCATTTTGTCTATTCGATGCCAGCCACACAATCCTAGTGTAAAAGTCCGAGTTAGCATGTTATAGGTTGTCTTAGTAGAATAGCTAATCCAGCATAATATTGGAAACATGAGTCAATTTACTGACCGATTTTGTTAATAGTCTCATTAATTTTATCAATTATATTACGTGATTGTCAAGTCATGGCAATGCTTTATGACAATATCCTGAAACTATTACGTTTAACTAGTTATAGTGTTGATTGAGGATTAGTCAGTGGAAAAATTGGTATTGTTGCTTGAGGTGATTCGAAATTATCAGAAATTTATAACGTTAAAGAATCCGAGACGCCTAATTATATTATAAATTTCGATTCAGAAATATTCGTTTAGTGTTAATTCTAGTAGGCTACGGAGTTTTGATTTTAAACATTTGTTTAGCCAACAGCTACCTGAGGATTTAGTTATTTTACTAGTGCATTTGATAGTACCTAAATTTGTAATCTTATCATCTAAATTATGTTCGCATTTTAAGCTGCTAATATGATAAACCAATCCATAA